GTGGAGCGTCATGATATGACAGTACCTTCATATGTAAACACGTACCCGATTTGAGATCGAGCTTTATGTGGATTAGATAAATAACATGCATCTGCATAACCAACAAGATTTGCACTACCTTTGTTAGCATAAAATAAACTCATATCAAGAGTTCCCTTTAAATATCACAATATATGCTTAATCTCATTCCAATGTCTCCGTGTAGGAGAAGAGCTATATCTTGCTAGTAAATTAACAGAAAATGTTATGTCAGGCCTTGTAGCATTAGAAAGATACATAAGTGCACCAACTACACTATTATAAGGTATTTCAGGACCAAGGAGTTCCTCATCCTCTTCTGGAGGTTAGAATAGATCCTTATTCACTTCAAGTGATCGAACAACCATTGGTGTACTTAATGGGTGCGCTTTGTCCATGTAAAAGCTATAGGCAAATTGATGGATAACAATCTCGTAAGCTAAATGTTCAATTTTCAGACCAAGACAAAGTTTTGTCTTTCCAAGATCTTTCATCTTAAATTCTTTCTTAATATATTTAATTGTCTTTTGGAGCTCTTCTGTAGTTCCAACAAAATTTATGTCATCAACATAAACTGCAATTATAACAAATTCTGATGCCATTTTCTTTATAAATACATGGAGAAATAACATTATTTATGTAACCCTCTTTCAACAAATATTCACTAAGGCATTATACCACATGCGCCCAGATTGCTTTAAACCGTACAAAGATCTTTGTTATTTGATTGAATACATTTCCCGAAATTTTGAATTTGCTTCAGGCATTTTAAATCCTTCAGGGATTTTCATATAAATTTCATTATCAAGTGAACCGTACAGATAAGTTGTAACTACATCCATTAGATGTATTTCAAGCTTTTCATGTAGTGCTAAACTGATGAGCTACCGAAATGTTATAGAATCCATAACATGTGAATATGTTTCATCAAAATTGACTCCAGATTGTTGTGAAAATCCTTGTGCAACAAGGAGAGCTTTGCATCTTTCAATTTCATTTTTATCATTTCCTTTTCACACAAAAACTCATTTATGACCAACTAATTTTATACCAGCACGTGTTTGGACTACTGGTCCAAAGAGCTCTCTTTTGGTAAGTGCTTTCAATTCTGACTGAATTGCCTCTTGCCATTTTGGCCAATCAGATTTTTGGTGACATTCTTCGACATATCGAGGTTCAAGATCCTCAATATCTTGCATAATATTAAGTGCAACATTATATGCAAAAATATTATCCACCACCATTTCGGATCGATTTAAATTAGTCCCATCACCGGTAGAACTTATTAAAAGTTCCTCATTCACTTGAGCCTCGGGTTCATTGATTTCTTCAGGAATCTCAAAACTAATCAGATCTTGGATCTCTTCAAGAGATCCCTTCATAGTATTGTTTTGATCATTTGTCGATTTTTTTTACGAGGATTTCGATCCTTAGAACCCAAAGGCCGACCACGCTTTAGGCGTACTTTAAATTCATTAGCTCTCATGCTAGTAGATGGTCCTGCTGGAATATCAAATCGGATAGCCACATTCTCTGCAGGGATATGTGACTTAGTTATCCTTTTCAAATCAGAAAACGTGCCTGGCATTTGATTTGCTATATTTTATATATAGATGATCTTCTGAACCTCCTGATTACTATAAGGGTACGTGGATCAAAATGAGATAATGATGAAACTTTCACGCAATTTCTCTTTTGATTTCCTTTTTCTCTCCCCTTAATTGTGGGAAATTTGTTTCATCAAACCGACAATCTGCAAATCGAGCAGTAAATAAATCTCCTGTCAATGGTTCAAGAAAGAAAATAATAGAGGGTGATTCAAACCCAACATATATTCCTAACCTTCTCTGTGGTCCCATCTTACTGCACTGTGGTAGTGCTACTAACATATATACAACACATCCATAATTTTGTAGATGGGCAATATTTAGTTCATGATCAAAAACTAATTGTGACGGAGAATATTTATTATAATGTGTCAGTCTGAGACGGATAAGTGATGATGCATGCAAGATAGCATGGCCCCAAACATCGGTGGGCAATTTTGTTTTCATAAGTAGTGGTCTTGCTATCAATTGCAAGCATTTAATAAATGACTTTGCAAGGCCATTTTGAGTATGAATATAAGCTACATGATGTTCAATTTTTATCTCAAATTATAGACAATAATCATCATAATCTTGAGATGAGAATTCTCCAGCATTATCAAGGCGAATAGCCTTTATAGGATAATCTTAGAATTGTGTCCTTAATCGAATTATTTGGGCTAACAGCTTTGCAAACGCCAGGTTGCGAGATGATAGTAGGCACACATGAGACCATCTTGAAGATACATCTATTAGGACCATAAAATATCTAAACAACCCACTTGTTGGGTGAATAGGTCAACATATATTCCCATGTATACGTTCTAAAAAGGCAGGGGATTCAATGTCACCCTTCATTAGTGATGGTCTAGTGATCATTTTGCCTTGATAACAAGCATCACAAGAAAATTCATTATTTGTAAGAATCTTCAGGTTCTTTAAAGGATGCCCACTCGAATTTTCAGTAATTCGTCTCATTATTATTGATCCAGGATTGCCCAAATGGCCATGCCAAAGCAAAAAAATATTTAAATCAGTAAACTTCTGGTTTACGATAGAGTGTGCTTCAAATGTACTAATCTTTGAATAGTATAAGCCAGAAGATAAAGTTGGTAATTTTTCTACAATGCACTTCTGGTTAGAAACATTCTTCGTAATACAAAGATATTCCATATTCATTTCATTTATCGTCTCAACATGATACCCATTTCGGCGGATATCTATAAAACTCAACAAGTTTTTTCGGACTTGGAGGAGAATAATGCATTGTCTATAATAAGTTTTGTTCCCTTAGACAAAAATATAGTGGCTCTTCCGGAGCCTTCAATCAAACTTAAATTACCAGCAATTGTTGAACCATTTGTTTTTTCCTTATGCAAATAAGAAAAGTATTTATGATCCTTGAATATGGCATGAGTTGTTCCACTATCAATTGCATAAATATCTTCATAATTAGCTTTGATCCAAACATAACTTGAGAATTATCCATATTCTTCAAAATGACATAAGCAAAATAAATATGATAGTAAACATCATTATCAAAATACAATTTTTATTTATGTACAACTATTACATAACCATATTATCAACTACAAACAACAAAAATTAAAATATTTATATTTTTACAGATTCATCACCGATCACATGACTTGTTTTTTCTTCCGGGAGTGCAAAGTAATCAGCTACATCCAAATGCATGAAGTCTAAATTATCTTTAGAAATAAAATTGCTTCAACATTTTTCTGTCTTCTTCAGGGAGGCTTCATAAAGCTCAACTAGGTGCTTTGGCGTATGACAGGTACGTGACCAGTGACCTTTTCCTCCACATCTATAGCGTGCATTTTCTGCATTTGTTGCTTGCACCGCTTCATGCTTTTGTTCCTTCCTTTTTCACTGTTGGTGGTGAGGAGGGTTCTTTGGTGCATTATTATTACCATGATTAGAGTTTCTTCCCTGACCACAGTCATGACCACGGCTGGGGCCACGACCTCTTCCACGCTTAGCTTGGTGGAAGTTCATCTCATTCACTTCAGAGAATGGACAAGAACCAATAGGTCGGCTTTCATGATTTTTCATTAATAACCCATTATGTTGCTCGGCTATAAGAAGATGTGAGATAAGTTCAGAATATTTTTTGAATCTCATCTCTCGATATTGCTACTGCAGGAGCATATTCGAGGCATGAAAAGTGGTGAAATTTTTCTCCAACATATCATGATCAGTAGTATTATCACCACATAATTTCAATTGGGAAATAATTCTAAATATAGCAGAATTATACTCACTGATAGATTTAAAATCTTGTAGCCTTAGATGAGTCCAATCATAATGTGCTTGTTCTTGAATGTGCTTGTGGAAGAACGACCATCTTCATATGGTCATATATATTTTTCAAATTATTCCATAGCATGACTGGATCTTTAACAGTGAGATATTCCATTTTCACGCCTTCATCAAGATGATGGCGTAGGAATATCATTACTTTGGCACGTTCTTAGTTTGATGCTTGATTTTTGTCCTTGACGGTGTCTGCCAGACCCATCGCATCAAGATAAATTTCCGCATCAAGCACCCAAGACATGTAGCTTTTGCCTGATATATCCAAGGCTATAAATTCAAGTTTAGAAAGATTTGACATTATTTAGAAAAAGAAAGTTCGTATCTCTGATACTATTAAAGTATTTGCTCGAGATGGCAGAGTCTCGTGCTGATAATGTGTTATAAAATAAATACTATAAAGTAAAGATAAGTATAGAGAGAAACTGATATGTTATTCAACTTCAAACTGATGTACATAATGAAATGAAATCTCCTCTATTTATAGAAGAAATGAAGTTGATGTGTACACTGCCATTGCAAGCTGTTGTGTAAGCTACTTTTGTACCAGGTATGGATTTCTACCGGGAGTAATGTTTATCCATAACAAAGTACCAAAAGGATAAGCTTATTGTACCGGGTATGGATAATCTTCTACTAATAATAATGTTTATCTATAACGGAGTACCGAAAAGATAAGCTTATTGTACCAGGTATGGATAATCTTCTACTAGGGGTAATGTTTATCCAAAACAGAGTAACGAAAGGATAAGCTTATTGTACCAGGTATGGATAATCTTCTACTGGGGGTAATATTTATCCATAACAGAGTATCGAAAGGATAAGCTTATTGTACCAGGTATGAATAATCTTCTACCGGGGGTAATGTTTATCCATTACTGAGTATCGAAGTGATAAGCTTTTTCAGGAGGTTTATTTCAATAGAGTACTAAATAGACAAACAATATTTACGGCGGAGTCCCATATGGATAAGCTTCTCCAGAAAGCTTATTTACAACAGAGTACTAAATGAACTTCCATAATATAATATATTTATAACAAGTAATACATATACTGGCGTATCGGAATAATTCTTTTTAAATACATTTGGTTAGTATAGGCATTTTATATAAGGAAATATGGGAAAATGATACCCACAACAATCCATCAAGTTACATGTGTTTGAGAACAAACATTCCAAATCCAATCCCGAGAAACGTTGCAATGGAAATCCCAAATATCCCAGCAAGAATACTGGGAACAACCAAAGAGGCCCAACCCTTTGCCGTGGCCATTCCACAAGCTGTAGTAGGACCTCCAACATTAGCATTGGATGCTAAAAGCAACATCTTTAGGTTCATACCAAACAGCTTTCCTAAGCCTAGAATCACAATAAGATGGACTGTTACTTGAACTAAAGCAAACATAAAAATACTAGGTGCCGTATTGATGACATGCCAAATACTCCCGTTGGCACCCACTACAGCAAAGAAAACCTGTTTCAAAGAGGAATAATTACTCCAACAAAAGTTTGAAGTAAAAGTAAGCTCAGTCATGCAACTTATAGGACTCAAAATTTCACAAGCTTCCTTATCATAACCATTTACGTACTGTTAAATTAAAATTATCAGATATTTCACACAGCACATTGATAAGTATCAAAACTTTTATCTTTTTGTTTGAATTGATTGGTCATCTAAATCTGACTTGAGATATGATTTTCCAAGTAGAATAAAAAATTACCTGCATTAACACTATCGGAATTTCATCACCAGCACTTGCAAGGTTTCTAAAATAAGCGGGAAATGCTGTTGCTAAAAGAACAACTATTGCTGTAATAGCAGGCAGATCACATCCTTGAGTTCCGAAAAATCGACTAAAAGAAGTGGCAGTTTTACAAATGGCAAAGGAAACAGCAACTGCTGTGCCCATCTGCAGCACAGGTTTGTTTCTAGGGTCAACTTGAGAAGCATCTGCAAAATAATACAAGAGTAAACTACTCGATCAGCAACTGGACTTGTCTGATTTTGAAAATCAGAATGCGTCCTTCATATGAGATAGATCTACAGTTGTGATGACCCGGCTAGTCGTCTTAAGAATTTACGCCCCGATTCCCCATTAACTGCTTTCGCCGTGTTTATTTCTGCTATGTTGATTGCCGGAATATTCGGTTTTGAGTTTCGGAGAGTTTTGGGACACTTAGTCCCTAAATGAGAGCTTAAGTGTTGGAAAGTTGACCGTAGTCGGAACAGTGTGAAGACGGCCTCGGAATGGAAATTCAATGGTTCCGTTAGCTCCGTTGGGTGATTTCGGGCTTAGGGGCGTGTTCGGATTGTGTTTTGGAGGTCCATAGCTAACTTAGGCTTGACATGCCGAAAGGTCGAATTTTGAAGTTTCCGGTTCGATAGTGAGATTTTGATCCGAGGGTCGGA